GACAACCCTGACAGACTAAGGGTATTAAAACCTCTAAATATATTTGTGCATGTATATTTCACCCTTAGTTGTATAAGAAAAAGAAGGGGGGTATGTGGTTGAAACATGATGCGCACAAATCTCGAAGACGCAGGAGGTCCCCGAGGCCTTGTTATTTGGTTCGAGAGTGATGGGGAAAATATAATAAAAAAACAATCTTTCATATTTCTTCTCCTTTAAAAACGTCTGCCAAACACGGTGTAAAGGTCCTCCCATATCCCTTAAGAAACCGGTCGTGTAAATTGATATATACTCGACGAAACTAGATATTTATAGTGTCATACACATATGCAGTGGTTACTAAACTATTGCTTTTTCAAATAATATATTTTTATTATCCTCATTACTTTTTTTACATGATTTTTAATGAAATAAGTGGTATTTGTTAAAAGGAACTGAATAAGTCGGATTAGTCATAGTTAAACTTCTGTGCAATATTTTTATTAAAACACATGACTGACCAACTGTATACAAGTGAATTATAAATCTGCCTGAAAACTTATCAATATAAGTGTTTTATTCGAAAACGTAAAGAAGTTTTTTGTATAAATATATGTATTTTAATACCGGTGTCATAAATTTGTTTAAATTATTAGTGTAAGATTTTAGATGGTAAATTATTATATAATCAAAATATAGAAAAAACGGTGGCTTCGGTGTTTTAAAAACTTTTTTTAGCTTTTTTTCTCGTTTTTTTTATACTTCAATCAGTCATGTTTTCTGATAACATGGATAAATAATTGTCTGTACTTTATTGATAATTATTTGCCCTATCTTTTACCACGATTTATAGTTAACCATTTTATCAGAAATTGTATTAAATACAATTTACAATTAACAAATTTTGTTATCCTTTGTTACTAATTAGTTATAGACGCTATTCTCCTATTATTTTAATTTTTTCCAAAATATTTTGCGAGTTTATTTAACCGTACATATATTTATATATAAGATTGCATACTATCTTTCCATTAGACCACACATGTGTTTATAGGGCGGGCAAGGCGCCAGGAGTTCCACTGTAGGATTCGGTTGGAAAAAAGACATACAAAGGAAGTAGGGGAGAAGTGAAATTCGAAGAACGAATGACACGATTTTAATTGGGACTAGTGTTTTAAGTGCAACACGTGAATGATATTATCTATGAATATTCGAATTTTATGTTATTTTTCCTCCCTTCCGACGGTATCGATAACGTAGGCGGACTTTTATGGTTGTCATTAACGATCAAATCGACTGCCTACCACATACGTGGGGTATAATAAAATACGTATTCTATTCATTTTCTAAAATATATGTACACATATTTAAGACTAAAACCAACGCCGGTCTCAAATATTTCCTTTTAGTGTGTTCATAACTAAAAATAATAATAATAAAATAAAAAAAAAAAAATAAAAAAATATGAAAAACAATAACCATATGGAAGAAAGGCTAAATGTACATTATCCATTGTCTATAAACTACCAAGTGACTTACATGTATAAAGTAGTGACCACAACGCAGAAAGAGAAAGACGTTGGGCGGAAGCGATATATTATTATTATTTATTTATTTTTTTTTTTTTTTTTTGTGGGGGAGACTAAAATGACTTCGGGAGCGGTCTAACTTGCTGGTCGTCGGCTCAACTGTATCCAGAATCGTAAACAATATTGTGGTGAATGATAAGATAACAATAATACGAGTAATGTGAAATAATGAATGAACATTAAACGCGGTTATTGTCTTGTTTTAGACATTTTTATAGTTTACAATTTATTGTATTATATCATATTATTTTATCTCACCAACGTTCTTGATGACAATTTCATTCAAATATATTGCTAAATCGATTTTTTTTTCTTTTTGTGGATCGTTACATTGTAATACACTATTCAGCATTGTACATTTAGTAGTTATTAGAAAAAAAAATATGATAACAATATTAGTAACTTATCTAAAAGGTTTATGAATTTTCTGCACTTTGTTTTTTTTTGGGCTCTCCATTTTTTTTCTATTCTAATCCAATACCGTACTCTGCGTTTCGTACGCTCTTTTAATTTAAATTTATATGTAAGTCAAAGTGTGAACATAATTTTGTTGTTTTTCTTCCACTCATCACCATGAAAATGAAAATTAGTGAATATTTGTACACTTATTCAACACGATATTATTATAAAATATAATATTTAATGCAGTGGTATGTAGTATTAAATTCTAGTGTGTACTATAAAATATATACATCAATCAAACCATGCAACATACTTTTTATAAACAAGTTTTCATAAAACAACAACGAAGTAAGACATTCGAAGATAAAAATGAATCCCGTTTTCATCAAGCAATTTACATTTATGTAAAATAAAATAAATTATTTGTATACGTATTTTTGGTTCGAACCATTCTGTTAGGTACTTGACTGCGGGGTTTCTAAGTATTGTACAACGTCATTTTATAGTTTGACACTTTGACACAGACTTGACCGCCGTCCATGGGAGACATATGGATACGTCGGTGTCTGGTAAACGTCTTCGACCCAATTTGGTTGATTTACCACAAGGGGCTAAGTACAGAAACGTGTTTTATGGCTGCTAATTGATTCTTATTCATTCTGAACCTTTGTGTTGTATATATTCTAAACCCTCCCATGTCCACTAGGGGTATTTCGAGTAGGGTAGCCTATACATATATATTTATGTGTGAATATGTATATGTATACATACATATAAATGTGTGTATAATAGAAAGAAGTACCACTTGACCCTAAAAGAAAAAAAAAAGAGGAAAAATAACCGTTGGAAGGAGCTATTAGAATATTCTTGACCACTTGACTGTATATTGTCCGTCGTGGTATTTTACTCATCATTGAAAAAAAAAAATAAACAGAAGCGCATCTAGTAAATTTTCATTATATGTAAATTTTTGCTTACGGTTTGAAAACAATATCAATGTGTACCATCTTCAACACATCTAATTATTTATAAATTAAACATATAACTATCGCTTTTGTACTAGGATTATTACAAAAATAATTTACGCTACATGTTTTTAGTTCAAATCGCAATATTTGGGTTTATTTAAAAATTACCAATGAAGTATTTAGTTGTTGAAGTTGATTAAAATTTCAAATGTACTAATTTTTTGAAGTAAAGTAGAACTTCCATTTAACGATCACCGAAGGGACCGGAAATAACGACCGGTATTTAAAGGTGTCTGTCTTACAGAGGTGATTGGTAACATAAGTTCAATACCTTCGAGGTGACCGTTTATTATTTACGATTTAATGTAAGTAGGTACACTTTAATATTAAAATTAAATGTCCGTATAAGCCTTTATAAATATTAAAATTAAAAAAAATTGAGTTGAATTAGTTTATGTTAAATTCATTTTGTTATTTGAACAATTTTTTTCAAAATTAATTTCTGTGGTTCTAACATATTATAATCATTCACGTCGCCTTTTTGGAGAGTGAAAGCTGTTAATTGTTTAATTTGATTGACAACTTCAGAATGGTTTGATACATTGCACTCAGGTTCTTTAGTTTCTTCATTTGTTTCCTCCTTGTCATTAGCCGTAGATTTTGAATGATTTGATATCAGTACTATCACTGCAACTTCAACTTTCAGATTTTTGTCGATTGAAAAAAAACTTCACCTTGCATATGAAGTGGCAGCATATTCATATTAACTAATTGTTAACTAACAATTATTTCGTTTTTGTTATAGACTGATTAGGTTTTATAACATTTTATTGTTTTTTTTTTTTTTATTGTTAACGTGGGATTTCCATTATTTTTATTAAATTGCTAGATTGAGTTCTTTTTATTTCAAATATATTTGCAATGATATGTGTACTCAAATTTTCTTTTTGATAAAAAATTAACAACTGGATTATATATCAAAAGTTAGATGTTTTCGTTTGAAAGCTATTGAAATTATATACAATTTGAAACGTTTTCATCGGATACTGAAAACTAATAAAACATGATAAAATACACAATCGAAGATCATTATGTTACCCACATCATAAAAGCTCGATAAGAATAAACTGTGAAAAATCTTTTAACATTTTTCCGTTTTCCGTTTGATATATTTTTAAATTTTGATTGTTAGAGTACTCGTTATATTAAAGTGTTAATGTATTTTTCCCACAACACTACCGTACCGAAAAAATTGACCGTTACATAGAAGTGACCGTCTTATAGAGCCGACTGTTAACGGAAGTTTTACTGTAATGCGAAATATGTTAAAATCAAACTATTCTAATCGTTAAGGTTTAAAAAATAACACAGAACCTCATTATCTAAAAATAAAAAATTAAATTAAAAAATAATTTACTTTGTGTGTGTAACATCAGTACCTAGTTGAGTATAGGTTTAGAGATTAAAATCAACTGACCATGAAATCATGAACTAAGAACAATGAAAAAAAATAATTAGTTTTATAAATAGCTCATATATTTTAATAACTTATAGTGCCTTATAATAAAATTTACTAACTAAAATTTCTTACAAGAACTTACTGTCCGATACGTAATGTACTGTATAGTATGTGAAAATGAATATTAATATTCAGTGTATAAATATGTATACGACAGAGTTTTTTTGTTTTCAGAATTTATAATATAGAGTATTTGAATAACTAACGATGAATTAAGCCTTACATTATAATGTATTTTAACCGTAATTGTAATTAGCTTCATTAAATTTAAATACAATTAAAATGTATTGATTATTACTATATTTTATTATAATTTATGTTTTATCTACGGAATCAGTTTATGATGTACTGAAGCAACTCGATTGGTATAGTATATGAACGTACAATGAGCATAGTACGAAATATATCGTTTTGCAACATTATTATGGTGTATACTTAACTTAATTAATTGATCAATCAAATATTATGAGTTACAACAGTGCAGAATCAACACATGTATTAAAACAATAATACTTATTGATTTTTATGTTTTATTTTTCATAGAATCCACGTGAGCTCTATCGGAGAATTTAATCCATGCTTGTGACCCAGTGGTAGAAGGGACTGGGTGTATGATGTAAAAAAAAAACCAAGTGAACCGGACTCGAAGAGTATATCCGTTCAGGAGAACCATGTGTGGTCAGGGTAGAAACCGTCCGAGACCTGTGGCTATGTTTACGTTGCTGCTGGCATCACTTGTCAACGTCCGAGGTGAGTGTTTATATATGCATAATTTGTTTTATTAAAAAAAAAAAGTATGTAAATGAATGAAGGTTATTCATGTATTGCATACAGTTAGTATATATTAAATCAATCATTACGTTAGTTATGATCTTAGTTAGTTATCATCTCCTTAAGAAAAATCCTAAAATTATATGAATTGGTACCTACTGTAAACCGGATGTCAGTACATGGCATTGATTAATAAGTGAAACTAATCGAACTATTGAATATTATAATAACTTATCGTCTGAGTAATTATATCGTTAGCTCTGAATTAATTATCAAAATTATTATTCAATCAATGTCTCTTTTATTATATTAATTTCATACCTAAGTGGTGCGTATTAAACTAATAATATATAATACGTAAGTAAGTGTATGTAACATATATTTTTTCTTCCTTTAATTAGTTGATTAAATTATAATGTATCAATTGTTTTCTTTATGAAATATATTTTCATAATGAGTTAGTTGGGAATAACGATAATAGTTTAACGCTGAGAATTTTATTTATTTTTTTTTCTCCTGTTATTGCCTATCTTAATTGTTTCCTGAGGATGGTGGTTAGAAAACCGGTAAGCAGTTGTACGAAAAATATATTTTTTCTTGTTCAATAAAAGTAACTGTTTATAGTATTTTATTTTTAAATTGAAATATTCGAAAAGAAAATTTAAATACTATGCGAATCATAATATATGTATACATATCATATGTACTCCATAAAATAACCAAATATAATATTATTGTTAGAAGAAAAGGACGGCGTTGTATTATACACCATACAATATGTGTGGATTTCTTGCCATCCTATAAATCTTAGAGTAGTAAAGTAAAAAATATATACTTAGTAAAAATGTAGAGAGAGGATTCGATCTATTGTTCGGTGAACAACGAGTTGAAAAATTGTGCTCGATGACCATGAAAGAAGAAGGGTTCGTGCGACGAGTGAAGCTTTTTAGTGTGGATGGAATACGTTGGTCTTTTTGCGGATACGATACTGAAAAAAGTAAGGGTTCAGTGTAGTGATCATATTTGGTTTCCATTTCCGGTGTATTGATAAATTTATTGTAGTAGTATTCATCGAACGAAAATTCTTGTTTCATATGTTCATTATAGTAGCATAAGTTCAATTAAATATTTATCAAATCATAACTATCCAAAAACAAAACTAGAATTTTGTTATTAGGTTTCAAGTTATCAATTAATTTAGTTTTAAATTAAAAACGATTTAATTGTTATTGCTTAGGGTAAATTATAAGTTATATATTACAATTAAATGCTTAAAAGCTTCAAGTTTTAAAAATTATTATATATTTGTAACATATTTTCTTGTTGGAGTCTTGGATAATAGGTGTTCTTAAAAATATTTTATTCGATAAATATTTAACGGTTAGTATTCTATTTAGTTTATAAATTATGATAAATACGGTTATTTTTTTTTTTTTTTAAATATTTGATTATACCTAATAAATTGTCTGTTTAGAAAATATAATCAAATTGTAATAATGCTCTTATTGTTGTATTGTAATATGAGATCACGTTTCCCAATTCATTAAACAATATTTTCGGAGTGTAACTATGTTAACCGATTTATTTAGTGTTTGGCATAATGTGTGTATTGTTACGTCATTATACAAACAATTTAATAATAAAATCTTAAAGAATTTTTATTTTTATTTTTTCTGGCTAATAATTGACTATTTTGGTGATGATTTTTATACATCAACCTGAAAATTATGGTCAACCGGAAACCGACTACGTGATTGTGTAACGGGCCATCGAAAATATACGATCAATATTTATTATTATTTTTACTACGTGTTAGTCGGAAACACCGAAATATCGAATATATTTAATTATACAATAAAACTATTTGAAACTGTGTACGCGTGCTTTGCATATATGTTGCCAGTCGTTTCACACGGGTGTCATACATATTGAGTTTACAAACTTTGTCATGCATAATGACGTGATATTATATTATACAGTTTGAAGATTGCAGTATAAAAACAATGTAAATGCGATTTAAAATAAAATATGATGTTTGAGTTCTTTTTTTTTGTTTTTAATTATTTTAATAAAAGTCACCAGTTCAAATGTATATGGTTAATATTTTCTCGCCAGAAGTATTATTTTATTTTTCATGTTTTTTTTTTTTTTTTATTTATAATTGTATATTTTACACGTAAAATCGTTTTCTTTGTCATTAATTTTTATTCTTAATTGTATTTTTTTGTTTTATGTTTTACTCACATTATTTTAATATTACAGTAAAACTTAAGCGTTTTTTCACCAATTTCGTATTTTGATATAGTAGTTAATATTTGAATTGCAAGAATAAATAATACTAATACTTTTTTGTTTTAATTGACCTTGTAATTTGTGATTATGCTATTTATATAATAATTTTCTAATAAATTATTATAACTTAAACTTATAAGTGCACCGAAAAAAATCATAAAAAATTCTAAAAAAAAAATAAAATAAAATCAATGGTAGATTTTTGTGTTACAAGGGTATTTTATGATCATCATTATTGGTTCCTCGAATAGAAAATTAAATACTCACATGAATAATTTTTTGCTATCTGTACGAGTATGTTTCTCACGAGTGATTCAATACGGTCATTAATTTAACTAATTAAAATCTGCGAGAAGTAAATCAAGCTATTATGATCAATAATTATTTAGTCTCCAATACCTGGTTTGATTAAAACTATATAAATCTTTAATTAAACACACCTTAAGTGCAACAAAAATCGAATTGAGAATTAATTTTTTATCTTATTTAATTTATGTGTCGTCTGACTGCCCTTCGGTTTTATATTAAACTGTACGAGTTCTTACTATTCCATGCTTTCTCGGGGGTCTGGTAAATTCATTCATGTAATAAATATTTTCAAGTTTTATTCTATATTCTTGTACTCCTATTTATCTTCGTTTTTCTGTGTAACAACTGATACGTATATTATTAACGAGCATGAGTTGTGTTTGTCCGGTTTTGATCGATTTCTCTATTAGCCCTAACATGAATAACCATGTATTGGCCCGGTGTATCCGGATTATTTATTTATTTATATATATATATATATTTTTTTTATTAACACATCGTATGTATACATTCTGTTTGATTTAATACTTGTACCGAGTTTTTGGTGACAGATGAATAACCAGACCTCTACTCGCACTCCACAGAGAATTGGGCATTGGGTATAAGCCGTCGGTCGTTCCAACCCATCGTTAAGAGTATAATAGTATTCGAGATCTGACCGATATGGTGGCCAGCGGGGAAAATAGTCGAAAAATAATTACTGCCGTGTAATAATTAAACACGTGCAGTCAAAATAGAGTTGTAAGGTTCAAGAGGCGGTTTTCAAAATTTACATAATCTACGACCACGGTGGAAATCTAGAATATTATGCGTTGTTGGGAGGACAACAGACATGGATTTTTATTCAAATGAACGTGGTGGTTACAGCAAAAACCCAATGAGTAAATTTGTTAAACAAGACATGTGTTATAGAATCGAATTATTTTTTTTAACGTCTTAAGACCAATTGGATAATTTATTAGAGTATTAATTCCAAATGAAAATCCCAAGATAAAACTTACTATAAATCAGCAAACTCATTTTCTGATTACACTATTTATATAATTATTTTCTTATTGATTTTTTTTTTTTTTTTTTTTGTAATAAATATTGTGAAAATTACTTTAAGAATGTATTAAATCTTATTTTAAATGTTGTTTATGTCTTCTAGTTTATGTAAGTATTTTTAAAATACTATTTGTTGTAAAGTTGAAATAAAACGGATTAGGTACCAAATATTTATTTTTGTTTTTGAGGAAGACTTCGAAATATACCACCCTTTGTCACCGTTATACAGACTATTTGAAGGAAATCTATTTAAAGAAGTTGCAACGTTCATTATAGAATAGCTATTGTAGTGTACTGTCATTTTTCTTCTTTAATGTTTTGTGAGAATAATTTTCAAAAAGAACTAACTCATTGACATATTTCTAACAATAAACTTTTTAATTTTTCAAAGAATTTCAAATTAAAAAACCATCATTATTTCATACATTTTTACTCTGTAAGAAATATGAAAAGTTTGTACTTATAATTTATAAAACCATTAAAAAAATAAACAAATAGTATTCTTCAAAATTCCAATTCATATTTTTTTTATGAAATAAGTTTAAATGATTTTTTTTTCACTGATAAGTAATATTTTTTTTGAATTTTTTGCTTGTGATCTTTAATTTTTTTTGTTATTTCATTTATGATTTTAAAATTCAGTGAAATCTTTAAGTATTTTTTAAAACGTAATTAATAAAACTAATTTGGTATAAGTAATATATATTTAGTAGAAAATACAGTTGTTTTTTTTTGTTCGTGTAACTCATTGATGAAGTTTGTTAAATAATAATTTATTCAACGGCTAGAATATATCCGGTGTATATATATTCGCCCTCGCAAATAAGAAGACCACCACAATTGTAACCGTTCGTCTAATTAACTTGTCGAAAAATCTTAAAAATAATAATATTATAAGTAAATATTAGACATGAATAAATAATTACTGGTTTTAGCCACTGACTGCAATATGTCTTGGATGATTGAGTCATGTTTTTTATATCTCCGTCTACCTATATGACTTTAATGGGTTGCATATATTTGTGCGTGTGTGTATGATGGTTACGTGTGTACATCAGCTTGTTGTGCGATAACTCAAACGGATAACCATTATTAACTGTATCTACGTGGGAGTGGCTATGTGCTTTATGGGAAATGTAAAATTATAAGTCTCGCAAAACAACCAAAAAAAATTAAAAATAAATAAATAAATACGAAAAATAAAAAGTAAAAAAAAAAGTCATGTTTACTTGTTGGATATCTCAATGGTAGGTCACACCGTGTGGGAATTTCGTATTTAATGTTTACATAATCGTGTCGCTTAAGGTTCCGTTTTATAAAGTGTAATTCTAGCCTCGATCTTTGAAAAGGAAAAAGAAACAGAATATGTATTGAGTTTATGTTCGTTCTTCTACAACACGATTCCTCCGCGAGATGTACAAACAATATTTACAATCGTCTCATTATAGGAAATGTTATGTGCTAGATAGATAAAACAAACCGTAAAGTCGTCATTTGTGAAAAAATATGTATAAAATAATTGAATTGAATTACCGTTTTGAATTTTGAACCAATATCGACAGTTTAATGATATTGCGAGTTTGATTTAAAATTGGGTTGCATTTTAAAACTAGTTAGTTTAATATAATATTCTTACGTTTATAATAATTGGATTGTCACAGGAATCAAATATTTTAAAATATTTTATTTGCTTCATAGCGTTTGTGTAAACCGTGTTCCGTGTACGAATAATATGTCCAGTCACACATGGTTATTGGCCTGACTTCAAGGGGATACGACCGTGGAGGTTATGGATGCTCTCGATGTGCTGTATGCAGTCGGATTGTTCCGGGTGGATCTTAAAATACGCTTACGCCTTATTACCCTTCCGGTCAAGACCCCGGATGCGAACGCCGGCTAAGCAAACCCTTCTCCGATGTATTTCACCGTTCAGAACAGTTATTTTTACACATAAATTATTATAAATCACTAGCTTGGCTGGCCAATGTTTTAAAAAAAAATTGCGCCTCGGCCCGAGTCGGGTTTTGCGCGTTGTAATAATTTTTTCTTTCCGTTTACTATCCCATCGGACATCTCTATCCACTGGACCACTTGGTACTATGCATTACACACGCACGTGATATTATTGCAGGCAGTCGTTACGTGTTACTAAGTCACGTGAGACCGCATGCGTATGTATACGTGTATTTGTTAAACACACACACAAGAGCGCTGCATCGTGACCAGTTTCGAACGCGTACAAGAAAAATCCGCGAACGCTTGTCAATTATTTATTTTGCCCCGTCCGTTCCGCAACGCGCATGTCATAGTTCAATACAGACTTACATGTTATTATACCTCAGTCCATGGTTATAAGCACAAAGTTAATAAACATTGTCGACACGGGGCCAAATATTCAATGCCACCGAGGTCACCTATTCGCTGGCTACGAAAATGAAGCAAAACCTAATATTACATCTAAAGGTTTAGCGTTGATCATTATTTTTACAATCAAGATGAGATTTCGTATATAAATATATATTTAAACAGTCAGTGCTTCGATGACCATCGGTTATTCGCAGTTGTACCCATATGTTGGAATTACAAAAAAGTTAGTTTCCCATCAACCTTTGAACTTGGAGAATGTACACATTTTAACCTTGGCTTGAATCATATAACAGAGGAAGAGAAAGGAAACGTGGCTCATTCTGGAAAAGAAGATTAAAACATATAAAACAAATTCATTACAGGATCTACTGCAGATTACTGTCAAATGGATTATCTTGTACAACACGTTTGACCATAGTTAACTTATTTTGTCTAAAAATTATACTCAAATATAGAATTATACTAGACTACAGAAAACAAAATTACTTCAGCATATTTAATAGGTAACAGATATTTCTATGTTACCTGTCGCTGTAGTTGAGCCATACACAACAAGTGCATTCAATGTTCCAACAAATATGGTTTCATTATCTTAAAATATAGAAACTCGTGTATAACGATTCATCGCTATGTACTACTTGAAAAACTTATAACATATAATATCAAAAAATCTCATTGCAAATATTATGCTATACGTTTATTCGTGTGTATTAGGAAGCGTGAAATTATTTATTTTATATCAAATACATATAATATTAAATCGTTTCTTTAAAATTGAAACCCACGGGCAATTGTAGTACTCTTAAGTTATCTCAGTGGAAATTTACTTTATCTTCTTCTTGTCCTTATGGTACACGAGTAGGTACAAGACATCGCTGAAATTAAACAATCAAATCAATAAATCTTTACGCAAAAAAAAAAGACTTTTATTGGTTGTTTTGAATAAAAACACGTTTACATGTGCATACGTATTATAAACTCGTGTAAATCATTTTCAGTGGGATGGACATTTTCGTTTTCACATTCTAGTGGAGGGAATCAAATGGAATAACAATATGTTTGTAAGTTTTTCAGTGTACATATTCATGTACTGTACTGTACATTTAAATAGGTTATGCGTGTGAATGTTTTATTTAAAAACACATCCGTAACCATTATAAATTACGGTCAACTCAATGGGACTGATAAAATGACTTTCGCCGTTAATCCTAATCCTCTTGACTGGGTAAGTCGTTTCAGCCGAGGTCATCTGCGCGGGTAGCTTATGTTAGATTTACTCTAGAACGCATGATTTGTTGCGTCACGCTAGAGCACGACCATTATATTGAAGACTTCCACAACCGTTACCTGTTTATCAGTTGTTATCAATAATAACAATAACTTTGTAAGCCTCTAGTGATTTGGAAAAAGAAAATTTTGTTTTCCGATGTATGTTCTCCGTATTAATGGATATATGACATTATAAACGGGTCACTGACCATGAAAACCATTTATTGTATCACAAGCTCACATTACTCCGTTCTGATTGCACTTAAATGAACATATACATAGAATGTTACGATACTCTAAAAATATCGCATAACATATTTTTTTCTATTCTTACGATCATATATATAATAAGATAGTGTTGTGTAAAAGGATAAATAAACCAGAGATATTCTATAATACTATGAACTTAATAAATAATCCTCATAAGCATACAACTTTTTTCTTGTGTTATTCTTATTTACCACTTTGTAACAAAATGGTTATTAGTAGTAAAAATTATTTATTTTTATTTTTTAATAAAAAATATGTTACTTGCATTTTTTTTTGGTTTGTACTTGTTTATGGTTTACAATGAAAAGTAATATCGTGCTATGCTATCGTATTATATTAATATGCTTTCATATATACGTCCATGATTAAAAATAATGTATCAAGTTTTTTGGATTTATTGAGTTGACGCATATGTTAAGTTAAAGCACAATATGTATTAGCTTTATATCATTTAAATCTGCAAATACCTAAGAATCAGAATCTAGTATTTCATGTCCATCAGATGGCTGATGTGTTCAGATACCATAACGAATTTGAAGGAATGAAGAATCTATTCTAGAATGTCGCAGGAGATTGTTTGGAAGTAAAATGTCATTCAACCATATCCATGGGTTTCGGAGTTTTTTTTTTTTTTTTAATGGAATTCCAGAGTAAATTGGGTTGATTGAAAAAAACAAAATGTAATGATAAGACGGGTTAATGGATTTTTATTGGACATTGTATACCTATATTGAATGAATTCTCTTGAGATATTATTATGCGTTTATTTTACATTTTAGGTGCACTGTTTTAAAAAAAAAACATACACGTTTCAAATTGTGTATAAAATAATTATAATCCGTTTAATTTTATTTACGAAATACCAATGCATTTCAGTATCAATTTACTGAACATTACACTTTTTATTTGCTTGTTAAATGTTTAACTGTAAATTAATTTACAATTGTTAATAAATAATTCTATGTAATAGTACTAATGTTATAAACATTTTAAAATCTATCGTGAGATTTTTCATTAAACGTTTTTAATAAGATAAAATATGGTAATGTCTAAGTTTTATGCTGATAATAATTAATAATCAGAAAATGCATCAACAAGTCGAAAAAAAAGTTTTTTTTTCACTTCACACTTATTCTCTTTAGCAGATACATGTGTAGACGACCAATATATGATGAAATATTTCTTGTACGTGTTTAAAAACTCTTTTCTTTTGGGGTAATCTTTTAATTTTTTTTTCTACTAAAAAAAATCGTACTGTAATCTTTGGCATTCTTTTACCATCCTGGTATTTTTGTGAAATACGTGAATTTCAAATGAATCATGTATGATCATGTATTCAACTAGATCGTAACCATTATTTTTGAAGTTTTTTTTATCTTTTTTTCAAACCAATTGTTAATCTCGACGACAAAATAATATGTGGTTGAAATTTGAACATGCATATAGTTATATATATATATATATATCTCAGTTCGGCTGAGAAAGAAAATTTATTTAAAATTTATTTAAAAGAAAACGTCTGAAATCTTAGATTGCTACTGTGTTATTCCTTTTAAGATCATTGAATTGTGTTATTTTTTTTTTGTATTTTTATCCTCTTATCGTCACATTTAACAGTATTAATTGTGTGTTTTTATTAAACCGTTTCAGTGAGCGTCGGATTGCCAGCAGAAACGAGCGGTGACACCGACGAAGGATCATATTTGCCGGGTGGCGATACGCTAATGCACCCGGTTACGGCTTCCAGTCTGGACGCGCCCGTACAGTTGCCGATATTTCTGGAAGAGCCGATGGACGCGTACGTGATCAAAGGTAAACCTGCGACGCTCACGTGCAGGGCTGCTCACGCGCTGACGGTGCACTTCCGGTGCAACGGCGATCGCATTGACGAATCCATGGGGCCCATGGTCACCGACTTCGTGGACCCGCAGACTGGCGTTCGGAACGCAGAGGTCGTCGTGAACATTACCAGAAATCACGTGGAGGAGTACTTCGGCAAACACAACTATCAGTGCCAGTGCGTGGCGTGGACATCACGTGGCGAAATAGTCAGCAGACCGGCTACCGTAATCGTGGCATGTGAGTACAGTTTTGAAAAATGTTTCTAATTAGCAATAAAACCAAAAATACGAAATCGCGCATCATACGTTTTATATATCGAAATATTGTGTGCTGTTTTTTTTTTACCTCTTGTAAGTAGGTATACAAAACACGGTCACGCTTGCTATTATAATGTATTATAGTAAACACGAACCTTCATTGGATTCATATTTATTACCTTAAAAGGTCTCCCGTCCTATATTAACTATTTTCTACGGGCCTATTCTATAAATATTTGAAATGCGACTGGAATCATTTTTTATTAAACTTATAATATAAGTTGGTAATAATAACAATATAATAGTAATATACGTATAACAAAATATTTCAAGCAAAGTTTCACTACACAGACATCACTATGTTGAAAGTAAATTATTTTAAAAAGGTTTATTTTTCAAATTTCAAATAAATCTATCTTTCACTTACTGATTAGTTTTAATGGGGTGTAGGCAATAAATGAGGGAACTCACTTTTCTCTGATGATGGTTTAAAATAAATTCATGACTACAAATCTTTGAGGATTTACGAAATGTATCGAGTTTAGACTCCGAGAATATATATATTATGAAAATAATAATTATTGAGACGAGACCCGGTATGGAATAACGATTCAAAGTTTTCTCATGTCCTTTGATAGTATTCATATTTTAAGTTTTTTTTTTTTTTTTATCATTTTTTGGATCCTACGAAAGCCTTTAGGAAAGGCTTACATCAAAGGTCTTTACGTGATGCGGGGAAGCTTTAAAGGGACGTGGATATTTTTTCTCAGCATATTTTTCCATTAATATCGATTGGTTTGTTAAAACGCGTTCATGAGAAAGTTTGCACCATTTGTTGTTGTCGCACCTCCCTACTGCTCGTCTACCACCCGAAATCCGTTGAAAGCGATTTCCGAACGAAAGATGTAGTCACAGCTGGTGTAATCTGCTTAAAAGTTAAGTCTTGTTTTCAGTCGCCTCCACGCGAACCATACTATTTTCTTGTACACACTCAAACACAAATCTATTTATGTATACATATTCGTATGTATTTCCCCTAAGTATATATTTATACATAAAGTAGGTATACAAATATTCCGCAAAACTAGTCGTTTACATTTTTTGGCACGTCGTTGTCGTAAACGCAACTCGTGCGGTTTAATAATACTTTAGTTACATATACATATAAGTTATGTACACGTTTTGTAAACTTCAGAGACTATGAGATTATAAATCATATTTATTGGTGAAGAGGACGGATTTAATGTTTCATAATAACTTAACGAGTAAAATATTCACGGAAAGAAATGATAATTGAATTGAACGGTTGACCATGATTAGTAATCACTATAAACATTTGCATTATATGGCACTTAACTTGTTAAATTGCCCTTTGAGATTTATGCGTATAATAATGATGACGATAATCGACCGCTTTGACTGTTAAATCGTGTGGAATATTAAGCGCCACCGTGACATCTTTGTTGTGTTATCAAACGCCGACTTCACGAGTTCAAAAAAATCAACAATATTTTTTTCTAACAATATCAGCAACAATGATTTACCCGAAGACCGATCGTTTGTATACAAATAACAATAGTCATTGTCAAGCGCATAAAACACTGTCGTTAAGCCACGTTCAGGCGATGGTGATGAATACGTAATGTGACGATGACGGCGGCGGAGGCGACAGCCGAATCAAATAACAGTTCTCCGAGTATTATGAAAAACAATAAAACTGCGTTTGGTCCAATTAAAAATAAAAACTTTGTCGACTTGAGACATGTTGGCATTAATGGATCGTAGAATGGCTTTTGTTTCAGTCGAAATAAACTTTCTTCCGTCGTTCGCGTGAACCCACAAACCACTGCCCGCGCTCATATTACTAGCTCAATAGAATTTACTCTTTAGAGAGCACACTAACATTTGTTATATATTTTTTTATTTATTTATTGTTTTTTTTTTTTCGGCCAATTAATGGAGCATCGTTAGTATGACTGAGCTATTCCGATAACGGTTTTAATTACCCTTTCCACCCGCGTTCTGTGTTTCTTTATTACTCTGAAAACTTTTGCCCAAGATTTATTGTTCTTTAAAATAAACCCAATAATATTTCTCCGTTTTTTCAAGTGGTGTTTGCGTTCGCCATTTCACGTGGAGAACATTCACAACATGGAATTAAATATGATCCTTTTCGCTACAGAATGGGCAATAAATGTGCAAAAAAATGTGACATTTTTGACATAATATTTTTTTCTGAATGGTCTTAAATAAAGACGGACAATTTCTTTAGAATGTTTTTTATTCGTTCAAGTTTGAATTTTTTTTTTTTTTTTTTAATAAATAACATATTATTTTGTATTTTGTATAGATTGAATGATATCGAACAATTTAAGCTTATTATCTTTATTATTTTTTGTACCTAAATAATCCCATTAACAAAATCAAATTATATATTGAAGGAGAAAGATAACTTTTTCTGTTGTACATTATTTAAAGTCATTATAAATTTAATTTAATTGAACAATGAAAATATTATTATATGATTTTATCAAATTTAAATTTTATATTTTTGTGTATTACACAAAAGCTATTTTTACAAAACGTAGTCATAATACAAAAATATTTGGAGGCCTTTCTTTACTATAAACAATATATTTTTTCCAGAACAATTCCCTGTGATTAACAAAATTAATTATTAAAACTATCGAATTTCTTCCTGTGGACTGTAAATATAAGTGTTATCACTATACAAGTTGACTATTTTAGATTTTGAGTAAAACGAAAAATCTTTTTTACATTGTAACTATCTATAATGAGTGTAATACTTTAATGGGCAGTTTAAAGCCGTAGATTTGATGTTGTTCGATAAATCACATAGCCATGATACGTTTATTGATTAAAATAAACTTTATAAGAATACCGCATGCTATTCAGTTTTTCATATATGTCAATCGAATCAGCGCAATACAAATCCTTGTATGATTCACTCTTATTCGTGAATCGTGATCAAGTGGCAGTTTGTGATATTTCGAGTGTATACCTCATATTTTGGGCGGCCCTTATGGATGCAAATTAGACCGGCGATAATTTCGCAACGATTTGTGCGAAGGGACCAACAGTTTTTGTCACGTACGTGTTCGTGCTTTTCGCGTGACATTTGACATTTCTAGTATAAAGGATAAAAAAAAAAAAACTAAAGAGAGTCAGTCGCAGCTGGACGTATTCGGTCCCTTTCAATAACCGTCGGGTAGGAGGGTAAAAATTCGCCCATGTCAAAAGACTAGACCTGCGGGGTGCCCGAATAACTAACCATCATAGACCTCATTTCCATCATAATGAATACACGATCTCTGATATTGTCGCGTGCTGCCTGAAATCATTACGTGGTCAATGGTAGCAATGATAATTAGACGATCAGTCCAATTACAAAGAACTTAAATTTTTCGGTTGAACCTCCATTGTTCAAACTGTATAATTTTCAAAACGCCTCAGGTTCCATTAAATTAATGGTTAATGGTCACATGCATTGATGAAATCAATTGATGATGAAATTCAATAGTAAAAAAATTAATGTTTCAATATTTCTAAGACGTTATTTGTTGACATAATTTAATTTTCTTTTTCAGTTTAATGTAATATACAATAAATACTCATTACTCATACTTTATATTACACATAGGTACATTTCATCATTTTATTTATCATTTTTTTTTTAAGTATTGTTTGAATATTTTTTAAGTCATTGCTTGTATATATTTAACTCTATTCAATATCATCCAGATATTTTGTATAAATGTGATTATTCATTTAGTATAAAGGGTTGCTAAGACAGGTTTTTATTATCATCAATGTGTAAATTGTGCCCTTTCTGTATTATTTATTTCACTTACTATACACTCTGTCCAACGTTTGAATGGATGTACACTGTATAAATATGTTTAAATCGTAGGTAATAAAAATAATGTACACAAAGCTACCATACAATAAGAAAATAATATTACACATTACTTTTCATACACCATAGTACACTTTAAATGTTTTTGTACAGGTCTAAATAAATGAGTAAATGTGAGAACCTTCATTAATAGACTTATCTACAGATTATTTTTAAATATATTCTTGTAATTCGGTAGGAACTGTCAGAACTAGATGTTTTCGAATGGAATATTGCGTTTCTCCGAATATCAGTTGAAATTAATTTTAAATATTATTTGGCAATGTTTGACTTTTTTGTTCTTCGTAGTTGTTGGCTTCGTGGCCAAACAAAACCAATAACAATAATAATTATTGTTTATACAAGCTGTCGTGCTGCGTGTAAGATGCCCCGTCGAGTCCATATAAGAATACTTGGCTCTTGTCTGCATAGACAAGAGGTCTTCGTTCTTTACGTTTTTATTTTGACAGTACTTTGATGTCCCATCGAGAAACCCAATCACTGGTCGATATATTAAATTTTTAAATGCACTTAACAATATTTTTTCGTGTATTTTCATAATTAATAATTTGCTTAAGAGTTTTTGACGTATTAATTTCAGCTCTGTTTTCATTATTGTTACACTTTCTACTCTTCTGATCGCAAACAATGAATGAGAAAACTCGACTTTTGCGTGTGTCATATTTTTTTGCTAAAGGGGTGGACAACCAATGTTAGCACATGTTCGACACGCGACCATAGAGAATAAATTTTTAATATAAAAGGGGAGGGCGTCTGTATATTAAGGGAGGCTTTTTATGTAAAAAAAACATCTAAAGTAATACGTTCTGTAAAATTTTGAAAACAATAGCTGACGAATCGTTTGTATTCCATGTACAGTAGTAAAATGACGTTCAGCTCGGCATAAAGGGCGTAAGAGAAGAAGCAGTAACACCATACAAGGGCGATAGTTCTTTTTGTTATACAAAAGTCCCAGAACTTTTAAAAAAGGGGTTTGATATATTATTTCCGTTCGGGGAATAGTTTCATACATTATAAGAATGTTTGCAAATTTTACAAAGAGA